ATAATCAGTTCGAGCTTTTTTATCATTAGATTTATTTTATCCCTAATGATACTTTTCCTTATAATCACTTTTTTAAATAACACTTTTCCTTATAATCCTAAATTTAATTAATTTAACTTTCCAAAAATATCAGCTAAATATGGTAAATGCACCAACCATAATTCACTAAATAAACACTTTTGCAATTCAAATTTTGAATCACAGAAGAAAATTTGAATTTCGGATCCAAGTTCAAAAAGACGATTTAAACGTTGCCTCTGGACAACCACCTTACTTTGGAATATAAAATATTTCATGTTCATTGCCCATCTTCTGCCATAAAATCAAAAATATTCTTGAATTTTAAGCTTGGATTTTAATAAAATTAACTATTTTCACAGCTTGATTCAAAATAATTTTCAGATTTTCGGGGATTATTTTAGTTACTAAAGCTTCACGAAGAATGGAGTAGTGAGTAAATTTAGTTTGAGGTGCAACTTTTTTATTTGAGAAATAACACGGAATGTTTTCCTGTTAAAACCTGAGCTCTGTCACTGAACATTTTCCAAGGAATATCATTCTCAGACCTAACACTGTCAATTACTTTGAAAATTTCATTTGCTGTTGCTCTATCATGAACAGATTGATAAAATAAATACTCTTAGGCAATTTGTTAACCTTCTTCGAAATGTACGTAAACTAATAATTGAACAAGGTTCATTATATCATCCAATTGCAATGCAAAATACTCACTGTGTTTTATTTTCTGAATAAATGTATCTTTTATGGAATTTGCCATTTCATGAATTTGTCATTTTACTGTACCATTCGATAACAAAATTTTATTAAGTTCATTAGCTGAATGGGCTGGCTGCATGCTTTTCATGACTTCCCCAAGTGCAACATGAATATGAGCAACTTTCCTTTCAAAAAGTGTGCCACAAAGCCATTCTTCAATTAGGCACATAGCCTCCATGTGATTAGCCATATTTAATTAACCAATCAACCTAATTTATGTACAGTTTCTAAAGTAAAACCAGAAACTCACAGAAGTGTAGTTAGTTATCCAATCGGGAGGATTATGATAGATACACTGCCAGTGGTTGAATTACCAATGTCACTTAATTTGTACATTTTGGCAGAGTTGATAGAAAGAGTAGAAATTCAGGTATTAAAATTTTGATTGATATAATTAGCAATATATCACAAAAGGGGAACCTTTTTTCAAATCTTGACAAATCATAATTTGACTTTTAAAAATCTTTTATTCTAAATCCTATTAATTTAGAAGTCAAACAACAAAAATCAGCGTTATATTTGCAAATCTTCACAGTTAAAAAATTGGGAAAACACTTACTGAAAAAACCATACAATCACAAAATGGCGAACCATGTGGTGTGTTTGCCATTTTGTGATTGTATAAGTTTCAGTAAGTGTTTTTTCAGTTTTTTAACTGTGAAAATTAACAAATATAATGCTGATTTTTGTTGTTTGATTTCCAAATTAATACTTGTTCAGCATGTTTTTTTATCTTATCTAAATCTGATGTTTACATAAATATATTTTGCTTTGAAAAACATCATCTTTGATGAAGTTCAAGGCACTTTCAAATGTAAAACCCAATTACGAAGAGCTTTATTATGAGAAGAAGAATGTTTAAGAACTTTATTATGCAGTAAAGGCCACAAAATCTCTTTGGACATAAAACAGCTTTTAAAAAAAAAATTGTTTTTGTTTTGTTGTTGTCTTTGCTATATACTGAAAAGAACATAAAAATCTTATACAGTCAAAAGTCTTTAATCCGGACTCGTCGGGACTTCGCCGATTCCAGATTATCGGTTTTTCCGGATTATAGATCATCAATTTAAATCTGGTAAGATGGCATGCAGAAATTATTAAATTAAAAATATGAAACGATAATTTATGAAATAAAGAGCAATTATAATCTAAAGGGTATCAAAATTTACAAAAATAAAGCTTGATATTTATTTGTTTACTTTATTAAACATTTCTTTCAATGCACGCATGTGTAAAGCATACATTACGCATAGTCGATTATGCTAAAATTTTGAAACCCAATTTTTTTAAAACTACTCAGGTGAAACTTAGCACTTTGGCATAATTTGAGGTATAGGATTGAAATATATAGATATGTGCGTATGTGTAAAAGATTATATTAGCAGCTTAAATTCCCTTCTATGTTCTAAAAATAGTAACCTCTATTTGCACTGCCTCATTTCGAGACTACTCTATGTCATATGATTCTTACGTAATTCTAATGATGTAAATGGAACTAAAACTCAAACAGCCAATAGTAATTTTACAGCAATATTAAATATACAATCAAAATGCATTGAGAACCAAAACTAACTCAGTCTGAATTAAAATTTCTCCATGAACATAATGCACTTGCTTTCTATGCTTTGTCTCGGCTACACTGCAGTCTGTATGCTCCTTCTTTCTTATTGCAAATTAAATTTCTTTGGAATAGGCACAATTAATGCACCAACTTCATTGTGGCTGCAACATGTTTACTTAAATAAAAGTTGAATTAAATATACCTGGACTGCCAAATTTCTTATTCATAGTGGATCGGCGTTTCAGCATTCTACGACACCAACATTCCCACTGTTCATTATGGATTCAACCGCCTGTGTTCTACTACAGAATCTATTACATATATATGTTATGGTGAAACACCGAAATCTGGAGAATGTCAACATTCACATAGTCTCTTGGTGTAGGTCCGAAATATTTTCCAAATACTCTTATTTCTGACTTACCCCGGTCAATGTCGACATTCACCATGTACTAATGGATGAATGTTTGAGCATATAAGAATATTGTATTTTACTTCTCGTAATTCAGTCGCGAAATAAACGCACTTGAAACTTGAAATAAGAACTTAAGAAGATGAGAACCTAAAACACACAATACATTCAAAATGAGAAAGGAAAATAATATTTATAAGTTAAAAACTTATTTAATTATACAGTACGTTCTAAATGAGAAAATAAAATGACAGTAATAAAAAACTTACTAAACTATGTGATTCAAATCTTATTTATTGCAACAACTTAAACTATTATGGCGCTTTATGACCTCTCTTTACGACTTTCACCAGAGCATATCTGTGATTGTCGGCATACACCGGTGAGGGTCTGAATATACAAGAATGTAGTAAAATATTCGGTCTTTCACCGACATATTTGGTGAATGTTGATATTCTCCGGTGAAAGTCGACATTCTCCAATTTCGGTCTTTCACGGTAACATATATATAAAATGGTACATCATTTCAGAAAAAGTTCCATTTTGTGTCAAAATAGATATGTTATATATATTTTATATGTATTTTAACTCACCCTTTCGAGATATGAAAAACATGGCTCAGTAGAACAAGATATATAAAACTGTCCCATCTTCCCCCCTGAATGTATATTTTCATCTGAAATATCTTAAAACATAAGTCTAAGAATTATTTATTTTTTGTTAGCCTTGTTTAAAAACTCTTTGCACTTCCGTACACAGTATTTTTTTCCTATCATCACATGCACTTGAATATACATCAATTGTTGGTGGTACTTATTGTTTTGCTAGACATCTCAGAAATAAAAAGGACACTTTATGATTTGCTTTACAATTGATAAACTACAGCAGTTTCTTGAGCAAAATGGACTTTTTTAGAAAGTTATTTCTGTACTTAAATGATTTACCATTTTGTATTTTTTAACACACAAATATATTTTTTGCATATATTGTGAATTTTGCCTATATAATTAAGATCATTTCTTCTAATTTAAGACGTAGTTCAAAATTATGCTATACTGATGCACAAATTATTACGGATTTCAGAAAAAGTTGTTAAAGCATACACTGCTATGATTAAGATTGTTTTATTATACACTAAAGTGTATACATTAAAGTGATATTTCTAAATAAAAGACTTAAATTGATTTATATATTAAGCAATATTAATACATTTAAATATTTATCAAGTTACAAAAATAGTTATGATGCAACCCACAATGTTACCAAAAAGTATTTACATAGTAACCTAGATATGGGAATGGCACACGTCTGTTTAACCACACATGGATTTGCACTTTTGAAAGTTAACCATCATTTTTCTCATTCGTGTTTCCTTTTGTATGAAGTACATTTGTTTTTCTTGTAACAGGATTGTTGTAACAGGATGTAAGTTATCTCCTTTTTGATAATTCAGTATTTTAATGTGTGTGAAGATTATTACTTTTTTGTTATGCTTAAGTTAAGCAAAATTATCCTATTTTATTAAATAAAGATTTCGTAGTTAACTTTTTGACTTATGAATCTTTAATGAAAACTGTGCTTGAGGAAACGTACTCATTACGTCTTCAGTGCTAATGCACAATCCAAATATCTTGCTTCAAATCAGTTTCCTTAGTAATAACCCGATTTGTCCTCTTAATTTCCCATTCAAATCATCTTTTTTTTTTTTTTTTTTTTTTTTTTTTTTTTCCGATGTAAATTACTAAATAACTTTATTAAAATAACAATAAAAATAAATTAGCAAAAATTAAAATAAATTAGAAAAATAAGCAGTCTAAAGACTAAAACAAACATGTAAAACTTAAAGTACATGTAACATAAGAAATTTAAAATTAAAGAATAAAATTAACTAAACTTAACATTAAATTTATTACACAAATGAAATAATATCATAAGTCAACATCTCTAAAGGGGGGACGCACAGAATTTATTTAGATGAAAGGCATTTAAAATATGTTCCCATTTCTATTTATTGAATGATATATAACAAATTTAATTCCATTAAAAAACTGTTTGCACAATGCAGATGAAAAAACTTTAGTTAACTATGCACAGGACGATTTAAAAACATTTCATAATATTTTGCACAAGATAGATTTCTCCGATCCCTTTTTTAAGTTATGTTTTATTTTCAAAAATTTTAACATAAAATTAAGTTTATAAAAGAAAAACAGATAATTTAAGTATTTAATAATAAAAGAAAAAACTCACATGAAGTAGCCTCTCCAGTCTTTTGACTTGAAGTTCTTGACGGGCATCAGCATCAAGTTTAGAATTTTTTGAATCAGATTTATTGTTTTTTTGCTCTTTAGATGTATCAGCCTGAAAATTACTAATCTCTGACACAGCACTGAAGTTTCTGGAACGATCTTGTTCACTGGTGCTTAGCTCAATAAATATTTCCTTTGTTGTAGAACAGTCTGGTTTCTCAGACTCAATTATTAGATTCTTTTGCAAGTTTTGTCCAACTTCAGTAAAATTATTTGAAGTTGAAGAACTGATTTTATTCCCATATTGATCTAATGATACACTAGATGAATTTTGATTGGAAGCATTTATTTTAATTGCTTCAGCTGTTGATTTATGATCAGCAGCACTATTAATATTCTTTTTCTGCTTATGGGCTTTTAATTCAAGTTGCAAATAATTAAGATGCACAAATACCTTATCGGAGTCTTTTATAATGTTTTCTCTGGTTAAGGTTATAAGGTCGCTAAATTCATTACTGATCACAAAATTCTGATGAGCATAATTTAAATGTTTGAGCAAGTTGTTCTGGATTTTTTTTTCCTCATCTTCTGTTAGTTTCATATACGGTTTGCAAAACTCTAAAAGCTGAAAGGAAATAAATTACATCAGTCAGAATTTCAGTTGCACTAAATTGAAATTATGCAGCTATATTAATGCCTTAAATTTTCTATCTGGTCATTTAAAAGTGTTCTATCACACATGTTAATGATTCACTTACCAGTTTTAAAAAAAATCGCAGTTTTTATGGGATGTTTCAGTTTTACATAAAGGATAATTATAGTTGACAACCTTAAAAGAAAACACAAAGAAATGTGGAGGTTGTCACACTACGAGGCAGCACCATTTCAAAGGAATTCCTAATTGACTTAAATTCACTTTATAATGCATGATTCAGGTTACTGAACTATTTATAATATAATTGTCACTATAAAATATATTATCATTTAATAAGATATTTTAAATTTATGTTATTTGAGTAATTTCATTATTAATATTCTTAATAACTAATCATAATTTTTAATAATTCTTAATTTTTTTAACATTCTTACACTTTCATACTGAGGAAATCCCAAATTGAAGAAGGAAAGCTTTAATTTAATTAAAGTACTTTTAAAATGATGAAAATAAAATTAATAATCAACATCCATAATACTTGCATGGATAAACTTTATAATATACCATATACTAAAGTAAAACAAAATTAAACACAAATATTAACCAATTAAACATTAATTCAGTCTTCATATCATAAGTTCTATCAACGTCTACAGTGGATTGAGACAATTCAGATCAAATGAAATTTTAATACAAAAAAATAATAATAATAATAATATAAATCAAATTTAATAGGTAAAATATCATAAAATGTGATTAAAAAATAATACAATTTAAATAAAATAAATCTGCAATTCACTAGATGTGGGGGAATGCAATTCGTACAATTTTAAGTTTTATTAATTCAATAAATTTCATTTATCATAGGAAAACAATTTTCTTAGTAAAAACTAAAAAATATAAGCCAGGATACCTGACAATCTACTGAGAGATGTGTTAAAAACCAGGAGAGTTGGCAACTATGGGATATATACACACAAAAATCATGGAAGTGTTTCATTTTTAATTTAAATGCAATCAAAAGTAAATATAACTAATCAAAACATAGAACCCCGCATATGATAAAAATGAACAGTTAAACAGGGAAGTACAAGTTTGGTTCATAAATGTCTATGAAAGTGTGAAATACTTTAAAGAATCACTAAAATCTGGACAAACTAATGCTACTAATAATTACATTTTGACTAAGTTATGAAGAATCAAACCTTTCTAATACACACATAATATAGCCAATTAATTTTCAATGACAGACAAAATTGCATCTAACCAGCTCCAAGCAATAAATAAAATTCTGATAAATGGATTCCCATCAATTTATTCAGGATCAATAAACAGCAAAATTTAGTAATTTGTTCTGTTTTGCTCTAATAGCATGAAAGGGAAACATTATTCAATTGAATTACAAGTTATAAAGAAAAATAAATTCTTTTATGATAATACTCATTTATCTAGATGATTGTAATCAAAACAGCAAATCCTTCAATCTTAAAAGGTTTACCATGTTACTTTTTGGAGTTGTAACACACTATGGTAGACTATACTCAAATACTATAATCTACAAAAGAATGCACACTAAACTACGAGGGTGAGTCCTCTAGTTTTCCCCAGGAAATCAAACAGCAGTGGGGGAAGAAGACAGCAGTAGAACACAAAAGACATCCAAACACCGTTGGGTGTCATTCAACTGCGATTAAGCATATGGCACTTTGGAAAAGCCTGTGCAAAACGGAGACGAGTCTCTCCTCTCAGACTGGTCCCAGTAGATATAGAGAGAAGGTGCATTTTGAATTTGTGGTCAAAAATGGAAGTGAGAGTGGCTGTCCGCTATGAATGGACATGTGGAGTATCGGGAGTAGAAATCCATAACTGCCTCGTCTATGGGTCAGATGTGATATCGAAAGAAATGGTGCGGAGATGGTACCACAGATTCAGTGAGGGATGTCAGCAGGTGCTAGACAAACAGAGACTTGGACGGACGTGCATGGGCACTACGAACGAAAAATGTCAGGATGGTGGATGGCATGATTAAAGTGATCACCACCGATGAAGTCGCGGAAAAATTTGTAATTGGACATGCACGAGCTCATAAGATCATTCCCGACATTCTTCGATACCAGAAAGTGTCAGCACGATGGGATGCCCTGACAACTGACTACGCACCACATGGAACAACACATGGCAGCCAGCTTGGAACATCTCGTGCATTACCATCGTGATGGCAATGAATTTCTGTTTCAGATTGTGATGAGGGATGAAATGTTGGCAATCATTTCAAGTACGAATCGAAAGCTGCATCTATGGAGTGAAAATATCCATCATCACCGGTCTGAAAAAAGCTCAAACAATTCCTTCTGCAGGTAAAGTGCTCTTCGTAGCTTTCTGGGATGCCCAAGGAGTTTTGTTGTTGGACGTTTTGGAGGTTGGAACCATCAATGCTATGCAGTACTGTCACACCCTGTAGAAAGTGAAAGTGGCTATTAAAAAAAAAGTCGGTATTCTGATGCTGGATGATAATGTGAGACCACACTCAGCAACAGCAACGCAAAACTGTACTGAAACTGTTCGTTGAGACTTGACCATCTGCCATACAGTCCTGATCTTGCACCTGGAGACTCTCATCTGTTTCTGGCTTTGAAGAAGAATCTTTGCGAAAGGCACTTTGGAAGCAATGCTGTAGTCAGACAAGTCGTTCAATGCTTCTTCTGTATGCAGAGCGTTGGGTGGGTTTTTTTTTTTTTTTTTTTTTTTTTTAAATAAAGTTACGTTTTCTCATATTTTTTTGTCTTTCATACACACCTCTGTCCACGGTCGTCGGGGGAAACTTATTTTTGTACTCTTCCTCATACAACCATTACTTAATTAAAAGGAAAGAAAAATAATTCGTAAGCCTTAATACAGTTATCTCTCCCAAAACCTCACCAATGGAATATAATTTTTCCATTTATTAGACAGTCATGTGTAACAGATAGCTCATTATGAAAGGCTCTTGGAACAAGAATTGGTACAATTTCTTTTTACCGCAAACTTCAGAATGGCATTTTTATATGGCCAAAATACTAATAAGATGCTATGCATTTTAGTAAAATTCATTTTAAACAGCAAAGCTGTTTTGTAGGGAATAAAAAAAAATATTTGTACTATAAATTTGTTCATACAGCAAAATGCTGACAATAGCCTATTATATGCCAATAAACTTGCTATATCCAGAAGAAAATAAATTAAACAAATTTATCAAAATCCTTAATTCCTATATTTTGTCAAAACATGAAAAAAATTAAGTAATACTACAAAGAAAATCCATGTGGTCACTGCATGACTTTTTTACATGGGCTATTAAATTATACACATTTTTTTGCTGTATTTCAAATAAATTTATTTCCCTGAATTATTTCAACTTAATTAACCTATTTGTCAAGAAAAGTTGAAAATGACATAAAAAAACAGCAAATTTTGAAATTAAATATTCCAGTCAATTTTTATTATATGGAAGACAGGCTTCTTATAATTTTATTTTTTCATGACGAGTATAAATCTTTACCAAATTTGAGTATAGGAAACAGGAAATCGCATTAAAACTTAGATCTCATTATTTGTTGAAAATTATTTTTTTTTTTTTTTTTAATTTGACATTGCTAAAACATGAATAACATTTTAAACACTTCTATAACTGGAAGTATATAACAACAATTAACAACTGCAAAAATGTTTGGGACTGCCAACTGCAATAAAAAAAAGGAGGTACATAACTAGATGTTATAGCAGTTCCATATACAAAATATTAACATTCCTATGGATAGACTAAGTTATGAAAGATACATACGTACATAATTAGGTATGCACAAAAAATTCCCTTTTAATTCATTTTATAATCTGTTTCAGAAAAATGAGTCCTTTATTCTATCCAAACAAACAAAAGCCACATACACATACCCCCCCCCCAAAAAAAAGAGCCAATGGATGGGGAATTATCAAAATGGACATTTCCTTTGAAATATAATATGCGAAATTTTTTGTGATTACAATATTAGCTTTACTTCATACAAGGAAATAAAGATAATATAAAATATGAACCTTTACAAATTTACAAACCTTTACAAATTTTCCCTTGTTATCTACAGGAAATTTACATGAATTCTCAGTTGGCTCTTTTTTCTTTTGCTCCGCAACTAGCTTTCCATTACATAAAACATTATTTGGGTTAGTTATACACTTCCTAGGATCATCTTCAACATCTGAAGTACTTCTTTTTCGTTTCAGTGAAAGTTTCGTTGAAGTAGCTGGGTTATTTATACACTCCTTTGTATCATCTTCAATATCCAAAGCACTAGAGCTTTTCTTTCGTTCTAGTGAAAGTTTAGTTGAAATAGCCTAAATCAAATAACAAAATAATTACTACAAACTTTATTTCAAAATGACAAAATTTTTATCAAAAATGTATAAAAGTAACAGTTCTGGAATTTAAAAATAAATATTAGTTAAGATTAAAATAATTCTATCTAAAAAAAATAGACAGTTTGTCAAAAATTATCAAATACACTATAATTTGATTTTTAGAGCAGTATTAATTTAACAGTGGATAAAATATAATTAACAATCTAAATTTGAATTAATCACCACAAAAGTTGATATAATTACAGAGATTAGCATAAAATTCTTTCTAATATGCCCTTTTTACCCATAATATGTACATCTATAAAAACGGGATGCTTCTTAGAATCCCTGTTTTCTTCCCTTCTAACTCCTTCATTCTAAAGATACCACTGTTTTTCAAATCTAATTACTGCTATCCCTCAACTCCTTTTGAAAATGAAGTATTTCTAGTCCTTCCAGAAGTGAAACTATTATTGAAGTTACTTATGATTCTTAGATTTGCCATTAATAAGATGCAATATCATTATGCTAAATAAAAATCATTCACTCCAAAACTAGCAATCTTAAACCACAAGCCATGGTAAATATTGTGAGCTAAACATGTTTTAAAGTAGAAACATTTCATATGTGAGATTTTGACAAAGGAACAAAGGTGAATTTTACATTTTCTAAGTGATGAAGATTAAATTCTTCAGGAAAAGAAATGATCTGTAGTAAAAGAATTCATTTACATAATCACAATTATATTCTACAACAGAGATTTATTTTGAATATATTGTTAGAAGTTGCCACTGCTATTTCAGGCTACATTTCAAGCCAATTATAACATTCTTGTGACAACCGCTACCCCTTTAGTATAAAAATACTGGAACTGTTAACTTCCATTATGACCAGAACTAAAAATACTATATTGCTGGCAAATCAGAATAGCAAGTGTTAAGTAAATCAATGGTTTTTCTAACGGGTACTAGTGTAAAACTAATTTAGAGCAACAAAACCTCATGACTAATCAGGACGTAACTACTATATCTAATTTGAAAAAAAAAAAAAGAGAGAGAGAGAGAGAGAGCTACTCATACTAGATTATTTCAAAATCTAAAACTATTCTTCAGACCTTTGAAAGCTGTAAAAAAAAAATTACTTTTTTTTTTTTTTTACCTTTATATTCTTTATCGACAAAATTATATCTTTATAATGTACATTTCTCTATAAAAAAAAGTAAAAGAAAAACTGTTTATATGTGCTCTATTTTAATTATTTTCACTTATCTTTTACGTCGTAGCTAATAATTTTTTTTAAATGACCTGAAATCCAACTCTAAAATCTGTATAACCACAGGTCATACAATCTTATGGCCGATGCAACTAGTATGACTGCAATTGGGCAGCAAAATTTACCGGTACCAAATTTTTAGAATTAAAGGAACCATTGAGCGGTATAATTTACAAGCCAGAGCTTGCACAAGGCAGCAAAATGTCTAGCACCTGCCTTGTATGTTGTATAGATTTTTTTTTTATCCTTCCCTGTATTAATTAGTTAAAAATTATTTGAATTGAATGAGCTAAAATCATAGCTTGAAAATAAAACCTTCATTGTAAAAATATATTTCAATCATTACTAGAAAGGAAGATAATGTGTTAATTAAAACTATGTGTAGTTCTGTAAGATGCACTATACATACATTTGTCCCCTTGCCAAATTAAAGTATTTTCAAAACTGAAAATCAGTGGAAAAGAAATCGTAACTGTTTTTTTCATTCTTAAATGCATTTTGGTTGCCCCAAAATATTTAGACATGAATATTAGCAACAGGAAAGTAATACACTGCTATATATACAAAAGCACAAGAAAATGGAACAAAAACTATCAATCCTCCCCTCCTTAGTTCATTGCATTAACCTTTTATTTGTTATATTCAGCATAAGGGGTTCTAATTAAAAACAAAATGGGGGGAGGGAAATTATAAAAAAGTATGGGTCTCCTCTCTATAAATGCATGTTAATAATACAGAAAGATGATGTCACACAGATTAGCTTTGAACAATGCAAAAGCTTTTTTTTTTTTTTCAATGTCTCAACTTCTCTACATATCAGCCTATAATGAAAATAAATACGATTTTTGATAAAATATTTTAATTCCAGGTAATGACATAACCAGTATTAAAAAATATACAAAAATACAGTATAATCTTTCTTAACCGTCAACAATGGAACCTTGCCAATTCTGGATAAGAGATTTTTTCAGATAATTGAACATATACGCCTAGAACTTACTTCTTTGTGTTTTATGATGCCACCTGTAGAAATTGTGATATGCAAAGTGCTTTGGTTGTGTTTTCAGATCCATAATTAAATAAAAAAATATAAAATTGTACAAATTATTTAATATTAAAAAAAATATGTACATGATTTTATATTTTAGAAAACCAGAATTAAACAACATTTTAAAATCACCTTGTGTTTTATTACATGAAAGTTATGAATTTCTTAATGTGACAGCATGGAACATTGAATATCTGCCTGCTGACAAGACTCACAAGAAAATTTGCTCCATATACTATGACATACTTCATAATATCAAGTCCTAACATAGAAACATAGTCATTTTGTCGAGAAAATAACAGCGTTATTTTCTTGACAAAATTAATGAAAATCTGCAATCATCTGTCTGCTTCTTTTCATGTAAATTTCTTGCTCTGTGTGTGGTTGTCATCTTCATCCTTTCCCTCCTTGTCATCATACTTCTCCTTTTCCATTCTATGTCTAATTATTTCATAGCCATCTTGAGAAAGTGTGGCAGGCATAGAATTGTCTATATCCACCCAAACCAACTCTTCACTAACATTCTTCAAACATATAACTATATCCAAGATGTAAGCCATGAGCTCTGAACGTATTTTAATACCAACACAATTTTTGTCACATTTTTCTCAGCAAAAGATAATAAAGTTAAATCTGGCCTCTTTCGATGTCAATTGTTTCTGAGAACCATGTATACTACTTTTAAAATTCAGTTATCGAAGACATAAAAAAAGGACTGATAAATCTTTATATTCTACAAAATTTCTTGATTCATTGGCTACATTTGGTGGCACAAGTAAAAAACAAAATCTTTTCATATTTAAGCCATCAGTTTGTTAGGTGATTACATATTTTTTTATCTCATTGGCCTAAATTTCGGATTTCAATTTAGACCTTCAAAATTGCTGTTATTTTTATGTTACCGATTAATTGAAATGGAAGATTTATGGTAATGTAATTAGCAACCAAAAATATTAAATGAAAATTTAAAATATAAAACTGAAAATAAAGAAAATTCCAATAAAACAACAATTTGAAAATAAAAATGAAAAATGTCTTGTTTTCAACTATCTTTTCATTCCTAAATATTTTTAGCTAATTTTTTATTTTTTCCTTTGACATGAATGTTGTATAATTTTAAAACATATGATGATGGCAATCAATATATATTATGGTTATATTAGCTTTTAGGTTCTTTTACAATAAAGTAGCCACTGTGCTTATTTGATAAAGTTGGCAAACTTAATCACTCAATCTGTAACATGCAAATTTTAAATGTAGCCCAAGTTTCATAAGGTGGACACTTTAATAAAGAAGTACAAATTTTTATAATCAATGTACAAAGCAGTACTGAAAATTATAGGGTCATTAAAAAAACAATAAAATCATTAAAAAACTCAATCTCTTTTAGGGAATGAAATTTTGAATTGCATATAATAATATGCAATAAATAAAAGTAGGGATATTATTTATACAATATATGCTAAAATATATTCCCTATTTCATTAGACTAGATTATAGCAAAGCACGCATGGGTTACATTCTTATACGGAAAAGAATGCCTTTGTGGAGGTCTTTTTAAGGGAAACTCGTTTCTATTCATTTACACAGGGGTTTTCATAAATACTCTTATGCAACCATTTACACACGGGTCCTAAAAACTCTTATGCAATCAGCTCTTTAGCTGGGATTCAAACCTGCATTAAACTAGTCATGTTCAATGATTTTATCACTCGATCACTGGTGAGCAAATAAAATTAAATAAGAGAAACTTTGTTGTTAATAAAAACACAAAGAACCTTTATCTCAAATAAAGAGGGAGGAAAACAAATGAAAAACAATGATTCTATTATGCTTTTGACTGTCATCAGGAAGCATTAAATCATTATCAAAATCAGCCATTTTTTTAAATTCTTTTTTTGCATGGATTCTATTTCTATATGAATTTCTTCCTTTACTAAGAAAATTCATCTTGAAAAGAATTTTTTTTAATGAGAAAGTTCATCCAGAAATGGAATAGAAAAAAGACTGATTTCCATAATGCTTGGCTTCTCAATGAAAATCGAAATATTATCAAAATCCTCCTTCCTTTTCCCATGTGTCCTTCTCCCACTCTATTTAAATTTTTAAATTTTGTCTTTTAATTTGTAGCCATTAAAGCTTCTTTAACTTGCATTCCATAAACTAGAGAATTTCTGCATCCTTTGGATAAAAATACCTTTGATTATCTACAGCAAAAATAGGCAAACTTTTCAATTTTTTAAACTTCCATTCTTATTGTTTTAAATTAAATAAAAAATATATATTTCCAGTATTTTATTGACAAATACACTGGTGTAAGAAATCAAGAGAATTTTCATATTTGATCTACGATCTCCAGAACTACTGGACAGAGTTTAATAAAATTTGGTGTGAACATAGGTTGATATAATACAAACAAAATAAACATTCAACAGTTATAATAGACACACATGTTTGTGTGTAACACTCATGGGAATCTGAAGGTCTGAAACAGCGGTTGCAGAAGACACAAAAGAAATCAGTTAATAGGGGGTACGATTCCCTCTTACAGCCATACAGGCCTTGCAGTGTGATGTCATATTGGAAATAAGGCAGTTTATCAGTGCCTGTGGCAATTGGTCCCAACGCTGTTTTCAGTTACTGGATGGTTCTCGAAAGGGGGTTGCAAGTTGCAATTGCCCTCCCCAGAGCATCCCAAACATACTCTAAAGGGTTGAGGTCTGGAGACTTGGCTGGCCAATCCATCCGGCGAATATCCTCACTCTCGAGAAATTCGTTGACCAGAACTCTATGTGGCCTCGCGTTATCGTCCTCTAAGATGAATCAGGGCCCACTGCACCCCGGAAAAGGTGAACATAGGGCTCCAAGACCTCATCCCTATACCTCACACCAGTCACAGAGCCTCTGTCAAAGACGTGGTGAGGTGTGCGGCAATCCAACATAATGCCTGCCCAGATCATTACACCGCCACCATCATAATTGTTGATTTCGCAGACATTGGAGGGTAGGTAGTGGGTCCCTGGCTTTCACCATATGAAACTACGGCGAGAATCGGTGTTTAGGCTAAAACGGGACTCGTCGGTGAACAGAAAGGTCGCCCATTGCTCCGTACTCCAATCACTATGCTGCCTGCACCATGCTAATTGGACACTCCCTGTCCGTAGACGTGAGCGAACAGCCAATATTCTGGCAAACAACTCTCTCTCATTCAGTCTTTTGGAAACGGTCCCCTTTGTCACGTGGGTTCCAGTGGCTGCATACAGGTCCCGAGAGAGCTCAGAAGCTAAAGCCCTTCTGTTACGCCTCACAAAAATGGACAAATAGCAATCTTTTCTGGCCGTCGGGGCTCTTGGATGACCTTGCCCAGGCTTTCTCTCGATAAATCCAGTATCCTAGAACTGTTTCCATAGGTTACACACGATGCTGGGCGTTAAATTAAACTCTCTGCATATCTGGACTTGTGATTGGCCTTCCTCTAGCCTCCCCACAATTCGCCACCTCATTCCGTCATCTAAACATTGGTGGTTACTTATTTTTACTGTTCCAATGTGAATTTAACCGATTGCTGCAAGATAACACCAATAAATTCGACGAGGTGTGCTCGCGAATGCAATTCGTCTTACCTTACACATGCTTATAAATCCTGTTTTTCTGCTGGCTACGCTACACACATGTGTATGCTTATGTATTTGCCGTACAAGATTTGTATTTTTATCTAGAAGCAGTGGTTTTTCCTTCAGTTCAGTTCTTTTTGAGCAATTCGATAAAATATGCAAATTCTCTTAATTTATTTCACCAGTGCATATGAAATCTTAATTAATTTGTACCTACTCTATCCCCCAAAATATTATCTTTTCATGAAATCAATGAATGCACTAAAAATTTAATCAAATTGTATTAACTTTGATAAATATTTATGAATTAAGTGCTAATGCATCACTTGGCCTTTAAACACTATACAGCCCACAATTATCTCTGCCTGTAGCTATAAAAAAATTGACTACTATTATTTCCCCAATCTTAAATGTTGCAAAAGTGCTAATTTTTATAAATAATTTACATCCCGAGCATACAATTTACAAACTAAGAGCAAATAAACAGTTAATAAATTCAAATTTGGCTATTTTTTAATTAACTAAAAATGTTTGAATTATTTATTTCTACATAAAAATGTACCTCAAAAGAACTTCTTTGCCCCTCAGAATGACTTGACTTAATTTCATCTATTGCTCTAACTCTATCAACAGAATTTAGAGCTTCATGCAAAGCTTCTACATGAACATCTTTAGAAGAATTCTCTTTAACTAAAGTAACAGTTCCTACTTTCACAGCTTTTGCTTCTTGTATGCCTTCAGATACTGCTAGTTCGTCTTTCTGAGCACCAGTGCAAACATTCTTTTGGATGCTGGAACTTCCTTGATGATTTAGATTTTTATTAACAACTTTAATGCTAGAACTCTCAAAACGAGATAATAAAGCATCAATTGGCAATGTTTCCTTTACATGCAAATCTTTTGTACCATTCTCCTTAGTTTCAGTTATAAATGACTTCATTTCTTCAGCATCTGCATCTTTCAAAGCTACACAATTTAGGGATTCCTTGCTGGAAATAGTAAAGTTACTCTTTGAAGAAGTTTCTGCTAAAGCTCTAGTTTCCAATGACGAAAAAGTTTTAGAATCATACATGTCAGATAAAATCTTGGACTTATCATTTTCTTCAGAATTTAGCTGTGGTAAATCACTTGCAGGTTGAGTATTTTTATTGCTAGCTGCAGATATCTCTGCAAATTTATTTACATTAATAATCTCATCTGGTGACAAAGTCTTACTTGAATCAACTAAAAATTCTGGTTCCTTACAATCTGTATTTCCCAGCAAAGAATTTGTTTTATCTGCTAATGATTCAACAGACAATATTTTAATAGAACTTTTTTTAGATTTTACATTTGTATTTTCTAAATCTGATTTCCTTTTTGATGGAAAAGAAAGATTCTCATATGATTCAGGAATTTTATCATTACTAGAATTATTTTTTCCTTTGGAAACAGGAGTAATTAACAGGCCTTCAAAATGAAAGCTTCGTTTTTTTTTATGGCAATTTTTCTGATTCACCTTATTCAACAGAGCTTGACATTCTTTAGGATCCTTAAATGTTAATATTTTACTGTGATTATTATTTAAACTGTTTGCTTTAACACCAGTCCCTGAAACAGACGTAGATGATTTAAAATTTTTATGTGGTGCTTTTGCATCTTTATTCGTACTATCTAAGCCAGAAGATTTATCGTTTATATGTTCCCTGTAATTACAGTTTGAAGATTCTCTGCTAGAAGCTGATCTATTATTAATTAATTGTATACTTAGACCACCTTTTTCAAGATTGCTAATACCTTGTAACATTTCATGGCTTTTTATTTTAGAAACTTCAGTATTTGGCTCAGAACTTTTAAAGTTTGAAGTATTTGAGCATGGTAGTTCAATCCGAGTTTTCTGAACTGCATTGAAAATGCTTACTCCACGGCTTGTAAGATCATTTTTTAGAGATTTAGGAATAATGTGTTTTTTTGAATGAGTTAATGAAGTTTGTTTACCATTTAAAACTACAGTATTTTGAGCAGATTCTTTAATTTCACTTTCACTGTTCTTTTTTGAATGCACACTGTTCACAACTGACAAAGAATGCACTGTTTTTGGTAATGCTTTGGCTTCTTCACCAACTACAGTCCTTAAAGCCTGAGGTGAAGCACAGAGTTTCTTTTGACTTACAGCAGATATTTTAACACCAGACTTTTGGTGATTTAACAAAGAGGAAACTGTTGCAGAAGCATGCTGAACACTGTTTACTTCAGTATTGTGATTTCTAACCATGGGATTTAAAGTCTGCTTTATTTTATGTTTTGCCTTCATACAACTATCTTTGCAAGGAACTTCAGAATTTTCAGAACACAATTTTTTACTTTGAAAAGTCACTAATGATCCTGATGCAGGTTTTTCTGGTTTATTTGGTTTCGGAGTTGATGTTACAGGGATAGATGCATCATACTTTGCTGTACACAAATCCCTACTTTCTGAAATAGATTTACAATTTTGTACATGCTTTGATGAGTTACTAGTTAAAGATTTTCTTGCATTATTTTGTCTATGTTGAGAAACAGATACATGATTTTTCTTTTTCTTTGACGAATTATTTCCATTAACTAAGGATTTTCTTGCAGTAAATTTCGGAAACAATTTTGTTGCAATTTGAGAAACAGATATGTGACTTTGTATATCATCTGCCAACATATTTGTTAACGATTTCCTTGCAGTAAATTTCTGTGGGCTACTTTCCACTTTGGAAGTTGCAGAATCCTATTGCAAAGGAAAATACAATTGCACATCAGGAGATTTAAAAAAAAAAATAAATAAAAAAAAAAAAAATAAGAAGTAAAATAAGAAAAAAGCCTCAAAGAATCATATAATAACCTACAGCTTAAATGAAACATCAAAATCCACACATAAAACAGTTATTAAATTTTACATAAAAATGTTGATTAAATTACACATTAAAGGTATGATGCACTAAAAGGCCAGTTTAATTGTAAAATCACTTCAGAATTTAAAAGGCAAATTTTACTTCCTTGGGGGGATGGGGGGGGGGAACTTGAATATTGAACTGTTACATATTGACATAAATATAAATGTAAGTTCTGAAAATATTTGGTTATGATGAAGTTTTTCTTATTATCTAAAATGGTGCACTTCTCTTATTATAAAATATTTTCTTTTAGTTATTTACACCATTTAAAGACCATTTAAAGGTCATAATTAATTTTAGTTGCCTTTTGAGATGCTTTCAGCAGTTATAAGCTCAAAAAATGAAAAAGATGTTGGAAACAAATATTGTTCTTCAACTGTAACTTCATTCGTACTAAATATGGCATCTATTTATATGTTATGGAAAGTAAAATCACAATTTAGTGAAAAATAGCAAAACAGGGCATATAAAACTGTAACTGTATCTTCCGGAAGATATTTTGACCAAAAGAATATATCTTACTTTTTTTTGGGGGGGGGGGGTCTTGTTAACTCTAATTTCAACTCCTTGTGTGCCATAAAGTATACCACGAGGCTTGCATAAATAATTTATAGCAGTAACAAAAGAACCAAATGTTCGATAACATTGCAAATGAGGAAGAATTATTTTTTAAAAAGTTATAAAATAAAGAGAACTCAATAATCTAACTTGAGAATGGAATTCTAAAAAGCAGAAATAGTCTCTTTAGTCTGAGAAATTTCAGAAAAAATTGGTGGCAAAGATACAGACAGGCACTTCAGAGTTGCCTGAAATATCTTCCTTTACTGGACATGATGAACGTACCCAAGAAGAGTATGCTTTACATTTTCCCCGCAGCTGCACAAATCATTTGAAGCAAGTCCAAGTTTCCTTAAATAGCTCTTGTAATTGCCATGTCCAGATAAAAAATGAGTAACTTTTAGTCTGTAAAAAATTACAGGGAAAAAAACAAAACATTTTCGTCAATTGTGCTTTTGGTGAGGCCAGATATCCTCTGCTCCAAATACTGCATTTCTATAAAAGTGCTTCCAGTGAGAAACAGGAGCATGGAGATTTAAATCAATGTGAAGTTTTGTGGCTAGCTTTGCTACACCAGCCTACTCATTTTCAAAATCTTCAGTGTCCATGAATGTAAGCAAAATGAGTATCAAGACGATGCAAAGTCTAAATAATAACCTGAATTTCAACAGCAAGTTTTTCTGAAACACTATTTTATTTTGTAATAGTTGTAGCGAAGAAAGAGAATCACTACATATTAAAATGTGCATTGATCTCAAACCACCACAAAAAATTTAGAATCTTTTTCACAGCAAGGTTTAACCATAGCAACTCAGTCTGAAAAACAGAACACTTATCATTAACTCTGTACTGTCTGAAGTTTCTTTCTTATTTACCTGTGTAAACAACTAAAGCAAGGCCTACCTTATTTTTCATCTTACTTCTGTACAAACAAATTAATTTGCACTCTTTAAGAACAGCATTAAAATAGCCAACAACTGATATAGGATTCCTGTTAAATGCATGCAGCAGAGAAGAAACTGGAAGATTGCTGTCAAGAAAATTTGATGATGATTGCCTGCAAATCCTTTCACCCATCACAATATTGCACAATATTTCAATATCTATGGGTAGAATATCAGGAACAGTAAAAAGTGCCTTGTAACTAATAATTCTGCAGCTATGAACAAGTCTTAGAAATCTTCTTTGAATCTTCCTTAGAAGCTTGCAGTTTACCTTTTTCAGTTGATACTATTAAACTTCAAATTTTACATATTTGATGATTTTGATTGAGTATGCCTTTTAATTAGCTATATTAATATGAACATATTTCTTCAGATTCTGATGAAAAATACCATTTTACGTAATATTTCAGTCCTCAAACAAATTAGAAGCAGAAAATTTTCAAAATCAACAAAATTTCTCAAAATATCTATTGAATTTTTTCACAAATTACTGCTATTCTTAACTTCCTTTTAATGCTTAATTCCAAAATCAGCTAGAAATTACATATTTTTAGCTGAAACAAGATCATATATATCTTCTTTTAAATATAACTGCCATTATTTAAAGGGAAAATAAACCAATACACTATTAACCAGATGTGTATGTTTTCATATATTATGTAGTATACTTTTCTATATAGAAATATATTCTATATAGAAAATAATTCAATTCTATATAGAAAAATCTTTGTAAACATTTCTAGTTATGTACTGACACAACTGATAATTATGATACAGCTAATGATAAAATACAGCTTTTCAACAGATATATCCAATAAATATACCTTTCTTCTGTCACAACCAAAGAAAAATAATACACAGATCATAATATTAAGATCATCATCTGTTTATCTATTTTATGCCACTTTTACTTCTTTTGGAAACACCTTTTGTTTACTTACTGTAAGACTTGTCTAATTTATTTCTGCAGCAGTAAAAAAATCTTCATAAATTTTTAATTCAGTATCACAATGATGACATCAATAAGAATATACAGCTTTTAACAAACATATCATTAATTGGCTAATACATCTTTTATTTGCCAAGAACAACAGTTTCGTGAAAATGAATAGAAATGAAGTAAGATAATGTTGAACTTCCAATTTCTCTAGGTTAAATCTAGAACTGTTCTGGCAAAGCTTGCAATAATGGTAAATTGATGTGTATTTCAGGCTTCCGTTATATATTTACATAAAGAAATCAGTTGAGTTTTAGATGCTGTTATCGCAATTTCAGATGCTACAGTATTAGCATAGCATTCTATCAATGATGAATATCCCTTTTATTTGCGATTCTCCGATTAGCAACTCCCCTTTCAAAAAAAAACCTGATGCGATCCATCAGCCAGCACTTTTTGTTGAGACTTTTTCTTTTCCTCAGAAATGTTCCGTGATCAGAATTTTCAGAAAACTTCTGGTACAGAATTCTCATTTATAAAAACTGCTTCACTAGCAAGATATTCGAAACCAAAATTATTATTACAAAATTAGTATTAAAATTAGTATTATCACCAAAATATATTGTTTCATACTAATCATTCCTTAAATCACACAAAACCCACTAAGCACTAGGCTCTTTTATAACGTCCTTCCAATGTGTTAGTTATTCCAGAGTTTTCAAAACTGCATCCCTCTAAACAACAGAGAAAACATTCAATTCTGACAATACTTGATGACACAAACCATATTTCAATACAATAAATTTTTCTTCCTTTATAAAATTTTTAAAGCTTTTATAGATTTTGGGGACATTTAATTCTTTATGGTACGAAAGATTACTTTATATGCGATAAAATAATATGTGTAAACTAAATGTTCACTGTCATAATACACAATTTTATACAAAATGTTCTCAAATAAATGAACAGAAGACAAAGAAAATAAAACAAAATGAAAAGCTAATTACTCACAATTAATGGTGAATCTGTATTCTCCTTTTCCATACATTTTTCTGCAGTATCTTTCTGCAAATACAAAATACTGTTGATCTTTAACAAAGACAACTGTTTTAATCGGATGCAAAAGGGAAAATTTAAAAATGTTAAGTTAATTAGGAAAACAGTACAAAATGTATGAAATCAAAATATCCATTTCCAAATGCATACTAAACACTAATAGAGTAAAACAAGGGGGGGAAGACAAAAGAGAGAAAAATAAAATCTAGAAAAGCTTAATGTTTTGTCATACCACAACAAATAATATATTTGTAAAGTATATTTCATGTTAATTAAGACATCTTTTAATGATTTCAAACATAACTATTACTTCTCCTTTTCATTAACCGTCACCAAGATGTAAACGAATAAAGAATATTTCAATAGAAATTCTTGACAATTTTAGACAGAAAACTTTTGGCAGCAATGCTTACACTAGTACTATTATTACCTCACCTAGCTCTATTACATTAGTTATCTGGCATTAACCAATTTCCTAGCTGAAGTAAACTATGCACTTAGTCATTTGAGCGAATACTTAATAAGGCTGGTGTGTAGTAGTTGTCAGCCCAAGTTCAGCTTTCTGTTAACTAATAATGTGTAAGCTGCAGAGTTTCAATTTGTAAGTACAAATTGTGCCTTTGTTCACTTTACAGCTTTTAATAAAGAGATTTGTTTAAACTTTCTAAATGCTCAAAAACAGACGTGAAAACTCACTTGCTCGCCTTGGTAAGATTAAGAACTTTTAGTAAATTTCTGATAGTAATCCCATATACAGTCAAAAGTCGTTAATTCGGACACCCATAATTCGGAATGATCTATAATCCGGACCTCAAAACTAAAAACTTTCTGCGCATGCGCCGCGTTGACACATGCGCATAGGCGTTACGCGTGCGCGTAAGACCTTTTACGACTGCGCATATGAGTGTGCGCAAGTGCAGAAATACGTTTTCGCGTGCGCGTTTTATGTATAACGGACAGTATAAGCTAAAATTATCTAATTATCTATTCAGTTAATGTTGATGATTGCGTGGTTCCTTAATTTTCGAATTGGATCCGGCTTATTATTTTTTGCAGACTGCAAGAGCAATTTTATAAAAGTAAGCTTAAACTTTCGATTATATCAAATAGAATTTCCGATATATATTTGTTAATATGTAAAGGATCTAAAGCGAAAGTATGTTTTGAAATCCGAAATCTGTTTATCAATTTCACGCTGCTCGGCGGGGGGGGGATCGCCGCGGCGGGCGCGTAATGAATTGGAAGTTGATCTATCAACACTATCCTTATCTTCAGCGCAGATGTTTTTATTTTATTTGGCTTATAATTCCTTACCAAATGTAGTATTTCATCTCGATATGCTCCGTCTTTTGATATGATTTAAAACAAGTTCCTCGTCATTATAATTCGCTTTCGATAGCGAAGAAAGTGACAGAGGTTATTGAAAACGAAAAAATTTCGATTGACAAATTAATCGGTGTTCTAGACACAGCAATTATAGGACTTGAACAGCGGAACTTTGTAACTGAACAAGAAATTATGTCTGTTTAATAGAATTAAAGAGAAAGTATTATCACATGAAACGAAGCAAAACTTAAACAACTTACATTGAAAGAAATGTTTAATAAAGTAAACAAATAAGTATTAAGCTTTTTCTTTTTGCAAATTTTGATACCCTTTAGATCATAATTGTTCTTTATTTCATAAATTACGGTTTCATATTTTTAATTTTAGAATTTCTGCATGCCATCTTACGAGATTTAAACTGATGATCTATAATCCGGAAAAATCGATAATCCGGAATCGCCGAAGTCCCGACGAGTCCAGATTAACGACTTTTGACTGTATTATGAAACAGCACACATTAAATACCACTTATTATATTTACTAATAAGTGGTATTTAATGTGTGCTGTTAATTATTAAAACTATTAATAAAATTAAATGTATTAAGAATATATTAAAATTTTAATTAAAACTTTAATCTATCATTCTGGACCCCACCCTCACTCCCCCAAAAATTAAAATCTACAGAAGGCCTATAATAAAATAAAGCGAATCACATTAAATAAATAATTAAAATGAAATGCACAACATGATTAAAATACTAATTTCCCAAAAGCATACCAAATTCATTTTTAGAATGACAAATACATATATTCTACACCAAAAAATGAGAGCTATACGTAGTTTTCCCCCTCCCCCAACCTCCGATCGCACAGTATGATGGCCAGGTATGTGGCAGGTGGTTGGTGTAGTAGCGTAGTAGGCGACTGCACATCTCCCCCTCCACACGCTCTGTCACTGGCGTATTCAACACGCCATTTTCTGTTGAGTTGCAGTCACGTAAACATGGCTGTCGCTATTGATTCTCCCGCCAAGTGTGAATTCCGAGCTGTTATTCGTTTCTTGCTGGCAGAAGAGAACAGTGCAGCGGAAATTCATCGAAGAATGAGTCGAGTGTATGGAAACAGCTTTATGAGTGATGGCATTGTTCGTGAACGGTGTCAAAAGTTTAAAGATGGCCGAACTGATATGCATGATGAATTAGGTCAAGGACGCAAATCGATCGCTACAGTCGACATTGTTCAACGAGTTGACCAAGCGGTTAAGCAAAATCGAAGGTTCACCATAAGTGAATTATCGATGAAATTTCCGGAAGTTTCAAGATCTTCCCTGTACTCTATCGTTACTGAACAGTTGCGCTACAGAAAAGTTTGCACTCGCTGGGTCCGACAAATTCAAAAGTTGACTGACGACCACAAAACTCGCTGAATGGTTGTAGCGGTTGAGTTTCTTGACCGTTACAGTACTGACGGAGAAGAGTTTTTGAAATCTATTGTGACAGGTGATGAGACATGGGTTCAATATGACATGCCCGAAACGAAACGACAATCACAACAATGGATGCACACAAATTCTTCAAAGAGACCCACAAAATTCAAACGAACCTTTAACAACCGTAAGGTTATGGCAACTGTTTTTTGGGACCAAAAAGGCGTGTTGCTTGTGGAGTTTATGCAGCCTGGAACAACAATCAATGCAGATTCATATTGTGAAACTTTGCGACGCTTACGGAGAGCTATTCAAAACAAACAAAGAGGCATGCTGACTTCTGGAATTGTTCTGATCCACAACAATGCTTGTCCTCACAGCGCTCGTGTAACCCAACGGCTCCGTCTGCAATTTCAATGGGACATTTTTGAACATCCACCATATAGTCTCGACCCAGCGCCGAGTGACTTTCATCTGTTCCCTGAACTGAAGCAGTGGCTTGGCGGGAAGTGCTTCCAAAATGACGTGGAGCTGAAAGAAAGCTTAAAGCAAGATTCCCTCCCCCAAGCAAATGCTATACTGAGATTAACTAAACTAAGTTAAGATTAGGCTAAGAATGCAAGCCAAGCCTGGTTCACAAAAGTACTTCAGATAAGAATATCTAGCTGCACATCGTAAATAAACAGAATGAATTCCAAAACAGCATAGTGCCGGTACAGCACACATCGAGCATATGTATCAAACCTTCCGGGCGACATAGCAGTGCCACTCGAGTGGACACTTCAAATTGGCCGTGCACCTTAGCGTCGCCACTCGAATGCATGTATCAAACCTCCCAGGCCCTGCAGTAGCACTACTCAAGTAGATGCTTCAAATCGGCCAGGTGACGCTGCATGGATGCTTCAAACCTCCCGAGCACCATAGCGGCACTACTTGAGTGGATGTTTCAAATTAGTTGGACACCATATTGGTGCCACTCATGTCTAATGGTCTTCATCAGTTGCATTTTGTCAAGTTTTTTTAATTAACAACAATACATCATTTAGAATGCTAGAGATGCACCTGAATCTTGAGCACCATCTTTTCGGTGTACTTGCACTTGGAATACATAGTTGTTCTTTCCAAAAGTCGTATGATTTTACAGACAATGATCTGATTACTATGCTCTTTGAAATGTCATCTGGAGACTATTTAATTCACCTTTTTTTCTTTTTTTTTTTTTTTTTTTTTTTTTTCATTGATGCTTTTATTTAAGTTTCAGTAAATATGCTTTGAATATAAGTTTTTATTTTTCTTAGTTTTTCATTTTCTTAATTATTTTTTTAATTTCTTTCCTCGGTTTCTAATATTAGCTTTCTGTTTCTAAACAAAACCTTTTTCTTTGCTGGGAGATAGTTTTTGACTGCTGCTTTCTCTCAGTCTGTGAAACAGAAACCTTATTCACAAAAGCTAATAGTTTTATCATTAAATCATTCAAGTTTTTTGGAGGTTGAAACAATTACAACACTTCTGAGTAACATTACTTTACTCAGTTCCTCATAGCTATTATTGTTAGCATTTTGAAATTCCAGACATACCATTTTGGGACTTAAATTCTCAATTCTATCAAATGCACTTTGTAATTTTTTTCTTTTTTGTTGCCTTGATGTATTCTGATAAATAACCAAGGTCAATTAACAGCTGGGATAACAGACTTCAGAACCTTTTTTCTCAGTAACCCTAACAACCTAATTTTCACATCATCCTCAGAATCAGATTCATTGAAGTGACTATTCCACATCTGAGCATTCTTTTTATTGACAATATACGCTCTTCGATAACTGTGCAGCCATTCTTTTGTTAACTGGATGTTTTTATACAGAAAATGATAAAATATCACGTTAGTTTCTTTCGTGTTATGATATGTATTACTGCAAGGTAGCAATGGCACATGACACCATTTTTTCAGTGTTTTCTCATTAAAAGCATTTTCTAAATATAAAATCCCATTAAAAGTACCCTGAATTATAATTTTCAAGTTAAAAAAAAAAACTCTGGCCAAGGAGAAACAATTGTGACACGTGCTCAAACACAAGTCAATGAATATTGGGAACTGGACACTCAACCATGCCATAAGCACCTTCTTCCATAGTTTTTTTTTAAATCTGTTTCCATCCTCTCCATTACAGCACACATAACTTCCCACTGTTCTGAAATTTAGTAATTATCTTTTTCAAACCTTGTCTCGACACAGTCAATTTTCGTAAGCCTCTCATATGTCAATATTCTTGCAGTGCAGTTAAAAATTACTGCTAT